TAAGTCATTGCCTTTTCTTCATTTGGGGTTTGTGTATGTGCTCACAGGCATGTGTGGGTGTGATTTTATTTAAACTACAGCATTATGAAAAACAAAGACAAAAACTGTTATCACTTTTAGGCTGTAATATAGAAACAATAAAGAAGTCCCTAAGGGAACCATGGTGAAAAAAACCAAGGCACTAAATGTGTGTGGTTTTGTAACAGGCAGTAGGATGCTAGGGCTAATAATGGAATTTGTATGTTTATCACTGATGCGATTAATAATATTGATTTATAGAGCCTGAGTGCTTGCCATCATTAGCTATTCACAGTAGCCCCATGAAGTCTGCATCATTATCATTTAGGAAATAAAATCACACGCCAACTCACAGAGGAGGTAGCCCAAGTTTAAGTGCAGTCACTGAGTCGGCAAAATAGTAAATGTCTCCTGGTTGGCCTTAGAGCCCCCTTTGAAAAATGGGCCCCGAGTCATTCATTTCAAAGAATATCTCAAGTGAGCGTCATTTTATTCCCCTTCGTGAAAGGCTGTTTTCAAGATTACTGGATCGTTTAAACCAGCACATCATTTTAATGCAGCCAATGCCAAAGAGCCTTTCTGGGCTGGTCTTCCCCTCAAGGTGGCGAGGTTTTTTGGGGGGGAGGGGGTCATTTGATACACACGGTAATCATCTCCATATTTGTACTCTAAGAGGCTGTCCTTTCAGCACCACAAGGTCGTTAACAGGCCATTTATAAAAAGGGCCACTTGGCCACCCACGGTCCCATCTCCAATTACATTCAGAAGATTTGTTTCTGGAGAAGTAATTTAAGACCAGGGAAAGAAAACCCACAGGGATCCTACTTTTCTAACATGGGGTGATGACACTGGAAATAAGACATGTAAAGATAAACTTTTTAAAAATTCAAGCAAAACATTCTTGGTGCAGTGTTTTATGATTTGATGGCCCGGGTATTCGTAACTGATGATTCAGACCTCTTGTCACCCTGTTGGTAAGGAGGTCCCATGTCATTACTGTAGTGTCTGCTCAGTTTTTTTTTTTGCCTTTTTTCAAAAAACTCTTGTGTGTTCTCATTTATATGCAGAGAAGACGTGACCTGACCCTATCGCTGGAGCGGCTGATTGAAATTCTAATGTTGATGATGGTATACCTTGGGCATGGATTCTGTGCCCTAATACTGTGCATTAGTCTCACATTTACATTCAAAACCCTACAATTTTCTTCTTAAAAATGACCTTTCTCTAATGGAGTGGAGTCTTGGTAGCTTTGCCATTATATTTCCCATATATTTTATGTAACAGAGGCCCGGAGGTAACATTCTACCCGGAGTATCCATAAAGAGGATTCTGACCCTCTCATCCTGTTTCCCGCCCCTCCAGCAGTGATCCCTGTGGTTCTACCAGCTTTATGCACACTTCTTAAAAGGTGATCTCTGCATTCTTGTGTTGTTTCCTGGAAGATGCTGAAAGGTTAGGCTGAAAATAAAAACTTGAAGTGACCAGAGGTCTGATTAAAATCATTATTAACACAGTGATTCATTTTGACAAGGTGTTAGCTGTAAACTCTTTTTTTTCTTTTCTTCTCTCTTACAAGCTGCAGCAGGGTCCCTCAGAAACGGTATAAAGAAAGAGAAGTGAGGAGGAGGGTCTAACTCAGTGGTAGAGCACGTGCTTAGCATGCATGAGGTCCTGGGTTCAATCCCCAGCACCTCCGTTAAATAAATAACCTAACTACCTCCCCCACCAAAAAATTAAAAATTGAAAAAAAATTTTTAAAAACTGAAAAAAAAGGAAAGAGAAGTGACACTTGAATATTGGTAAATTCTAGAAGGCCGATGATGCTTGACTTCCCAACCAACAGTGACATTTTCAGTGGAGAATCATGTTTTTGGCTGGTATTATTGTAAGACAAACAACTGAAAATTTTAAAAGGCTTTGCATATTATTTCATAATTTACCACCTTAATGGAAATCTAGTTCTTAAATTCTAACGGGAAAAAAAATCTGCAGTAAACATTACGGTTGCTTAGAAACCTGGGTCCATGATTTAGTTCTTCTGTGCTCTAAGGCAAGCAGCCAGTTGCTTGTGGGAAAATAAAGCACAGTTGTTCCGTGCGTGCACGTGAAACACCCCTGTTTGTTTCGGCTGTGTGCTAATTTGTTTCTTCCC